AAACGAGACATCGCCGCGTACAACGAAGACGATTCACTGTAGACGATAAAATAAAATTTCAGTTGCTCTAAGTGTTCCGATATTATGTACTTGAAAAATCGTTGCACGATGTATTGCATTTTTCTTGCTTGTTTCAAAATCAATTGACCATATTCGATATTCGCAAACTTTGCCGGATTTCTTTGGTCTCTTCCACCCAAAAATTATAGCCTGTTATAAAATTATAACTCGTATAATCGAACGACCGCGTTATTTCATAGCGTTACTCCCATAATAAAGTAGAGAATAATTAATAAGCTATCAGGCGAGGTTATCGATTGCGCGCGTTCACGAGAACAAAATCAAATAATTCAAGGATTAATATGTTAATTGTTAGCCAACTAAAATGCATTCTGCTTGCGAATCATTAAGTAATTAAATCGTTATTACTTCTGAATTTGTATACATTCCTATTGCTGTATGATCTTAAACGTATAATAAAATGTTAATACGTGTAACTATGAAAACGATCGTTTCACGCGTCTTGAGCGTATAGAGATCGCGTCGAAGTTTCAATTAAATAATTCAGAGCAGTGCACGATGGATTTTAAACTGCGACTGAAGTATCATCGGATCGATACGTTTGTCTAATTTGAATATTTCATCTAGCTCTTGAACTTCCAGTTCGACTTTTCTAACTCGAAAACTAAAAAGTTCCCCTCGACGTTTTATTTAGATACATTTTCTCTTCGAACAGAATAGATTCCCTATACAGCCTGTCCCGCTAAAATTTGTATATACTTTTCAGAGGGAATTACAACGTCTCCGTATTTTCTTCTTTATGAAAAATGCATAGAAATCGAAGTGAAAGCGTTGGAACGTGATAAGGGAATATTTTTCGGGGAATTTAAATTCTTATTGTCCACGGAGTGCATATCGATATTCTTATTTTGATCAAAATTTATAGTAGACGATATGTTTCGTAAAGTACTTCCCTCGAGCGTGCCGGAAAAATCAACACCGGTAATGGACGATTCGTGTAGCAGTTTACAAATATGTAAAATTCGAAGAAAATCATTTTATGGCCATCGTTTTATGGTAGAAATCATTTCATGTTGATTGAAAGAAAAAGAAAAAAAAAATGAGAGACTTCTGTAATCAATATGAGCAGAAAAGTATTTGTTGTAATGATAATTGTAATATTAATAAAGTAAAGAAATGCTCTATGATAATCTGTGTTAATTAGTCAAAATTTTATTGTTTAGTTAGAATCAAGACTCTGAGCATTTGTAAAAGAAAATGTTAATGAGGGCGCAGTTCGTTGACTTTTTCTAACAAACATTAGCGACGAGCGTGAGAAAAATGAACGTAGAATTTTTATGAGAAGACTCTCTCCGTGCTATCTGCAGTATATTTTAATGTATTCAAAAGTCATTAAAGTATTTGCGCGAGAAAAAAA